TGTAGATCGACTTTTGTCTCAACGTCAATGGCGATGTAAAAACAATCGAATTATCGATAGTTTTGTGTAAAAGGGTTACCAAAGTCATTGTAATCGTTGTGCTCACATATAAAATGGCGTTCACAAAAGGTAAAATACAAATGTTGAAATAAATTGTTGGATAAATAAAAAATTATATAATAATAAAAAATAATTGCCAATATATGTAACAAAATATAAAAATAATAATTATTATTTTCTGGGAAAACAAAAAATCGGATAAAATTGAAGTACATTTTTGACATCGATGGTTAAGCAAAATAAGAATTAAAACTGGGAGTGAAATAAGTTAAAAGCAAGGGAGTCGGCCCAACCCGGAAATTGTTTTGTTCGTACAAATAGTATATTTTTGAAATGGAAATTTTCATATTGAACCAGCTCCCTCTCCAAAGCAAAATACTTTAAAAAATAGCTTGCTTTATACGAACCCCACGAACTTTAAAGTGGAAACATACGAATGTGATCCCCTTCTAATTCTATGTTTCTGAACTTGCAATGATCATCTATTACATAATAGATTTTTTCTTATTCTTTAAACATTTTAGCAAGTCACGAATAAAAAAATGCCGAATAAATTGTAATGCAAATTTGTAGATTCAATTATTTTAAAGGCACAATGGGTTCTCTTGTGCTCTTCTAGAAGGAATCCGAGAAATATATCAAGAAAATAAAGGGCGAAAAGTGTATAGACTATCGGATGGGAAAACGTTGAAATGAAAAACAAAATGCAATAGTCATCTGCTGCCAGAGGATTTCATTTTCTACTAGATAACGTAGAGATGGAAATGGTGCCGGGCGGGCAATATCAAGAATTAACACAGTTAACGGACTTATATTTTGTGTCCGGCTCTGATGAAGAAATACATGGAGAAATAAATATGAAAATGATCGGATAAGTCAATCGGCTAGAAAAGTGAATTTAAGGCTGGTCGAAAACGCGTCGGTACATATGCTTTATTGGCTTAAAAAGAACTGTCTTTATTTTTGGTTCCACTCGCTGCCACTCTACAAGAACTTGTGGTGTTCGCGTTACTGAACGAAATCCATGCGGTTCAAATGAATTAAATTTTAAACAAATTCAAGAATAACCCTGTATAATTTGAAATGAAAATCTCAAAAACACTTAAACTTTAAATGCATTTGTCTCGAAAAAGTTTTTTATGTCTGAATATTTGTAAAGAACGACAGAGCGAATATTGCGTATTATACTATATTATCAGGCCAGGGAGGAACCACCAGAATTCACATTGAAAAATATTGTAAGTGTCATCCTGAACATCTAGGATCAGTAGAAATTGAAACAAATCGTCATTCAGAAGTGATATTGTGTGTGTACACCGCTTTACAAAGTCAGTAATCGATAAAAAATAGCTGATATTTCAAACTGATAGTGTGTACTCGTCTTTATCATAAAACACTTTTGGTGTAAATACGCCCCTTTGCGTCGACATTGTATTTAAAAAAAAAAATAACCGCCGTTATTAAATATTTTTAATATTAAAAAAGAATCAATAACAAAGTTCATTAAAGACTTATGGGCCCATGCTGAAACGGATTGTTTGGCAACGGCCGTTTTCAGGAAACTGCAAATGAAATAAAAAAGATAAATTAAATATGTATTATAAAATTGAAGACTGTGCATTTAAAAATGTATTCCCAAAAATTAGGATTTTTCAAGTCTTTAGAAGACAATGCTAACAAAAATAAGATAAGATTTGTTTTTGCAAATCTTTATGATCTTCCACACAAAGAGAGAGATAAACGCAATCCGTTTATCGTCAACGTTTCTATTGTGTTAGCCGATTATCTCTTTTGGAGACTTCTTTTGACAGGCCAACGGCGAGTATATAAACTGCGATGCCTGACGTTCTTGTTGACATTTGTAAGGAACAGTGCAAGTGCACGCGAGTAATGCAATAGTAATTGCCGGTGTATTTTTGCATTTTTGTTGTTGTAATTTATTGTAATAAAGCCATATATATAAAAGAACGATAAGGATTTATTTTTAAAATAAAAAAGACAAAGCAAACAATTATAAATATGTCGGAACTTCCCAGTGTTTTAAATCAATTCTTCAAGTAAGATAACAAGTGCAATTGGATGTTCTTCTTCTTGTAATTATGTTGTTGCTGTTGTTTGAATTAGGGAGTGTTTTCTTTCTTTATGTTTTGTTGTTTTTGCTTTGCAAAGACGACATGATCAAATGTGTGGAGGTGTGGGGTATCAGCTGTTCGGTTGATGGATTGAGTTATCAAAGAAAAAGGCGTTGCAATTTTAAAACAAAGAATTGATCTCAGAATTAAAAAAGCAAAATCATAATTTTTTGGAAAAAAAATTTAAATGCACAGGCTTCAGTTTTATAATACATATTTAATTTATCTTTTTTATTTAATTTGCAGTTTTGTTGATGAAAACAAATCGAACTATATTGATGTCCTGAAAACGGCCGTTGCCATACAATCCGTTTCAGCATGGGCCCATAAACGTGATGAAACTCAACGTATGGTCGAATGGACAGCAGAGAAATTGATAGCTCTTGGCGCTGAAGTCGAGTTGGTCGATATTGGTGAAGAAGAATTGCCGGGTGGCCAAAAAATACCCTTACCCAATGTCATTCTTGCCGAATTGGGCAAAGATCCCGAAAAGAAAACCATTGTTGTTTATGGTCATTTAGATGTACAACCCGCTCTCAAGGGTGATGGCTGGAACACGGAACCCTTTGAATTGACCGAAATCGATGGTAAATTATATGGTCGTGGTGCCACCGATGATAAAGGCCCAGTCCTCTGTTGGATTCATGCCATTGAGGCATTCCAAAAGTTAGGCATCGAATTGCCAGTAAATGTTAAGTTTGTCTTTGAGGGTATGGAGGAAAGTGGTAGCATAAATTTGGATGATCTACTGATGGAACGTAAAAATGATTTTCTTGCCAATACGGATTTTGTTTGCATTTCCGATAACTATTGGTTGGGTAAGAAACGTCCCTGCATCACATATGGTCTACGCGGTTTGGCAGAGTATTATGTAGAGGTGGAGTGTGCCCGCAAAGATTTACACAGTGGTGTATTTGGTGGCACCGTGCATGAGGCAATGACTGATTTATGTTGGCTGTTAGGGATTTTGGTTGATAAAGATACGAAAATTCTAATTCCCGGCATTGAAAGAGATGTATGTTGTATGATTAGAGGTTTTGATTTGGAAATAATTTACGTTTTCGTTACAGATTGCACCTTTGCTCCACAACGAACATGAAATCTATCAAAATATTGATTTCGACGTGGAAGATTACAAGTAAGATATTGCGTGTAATTTATCGCCTTAATTATTATTATTGTAATTATTAAAAATTTTTCAAATTTTTAAATTTCTTTTTGCTTTATTTTCCAGAAACGATGTTGGGGCCACTTGCCTACCACACAATGAAGAGAAAATGCGTTTACTTATGGCCAGATGGCGTTATCCATCTTTGTCCATACACGGCATTGAAGGTGCCTTCTATGAACCCGGCGCCAAGACCGTGATTCCCGCCAAAGTCATTGGTAAATTCTCTATACGTTTGGTACCCAACCAAGATGCTGATCACATTACCGAATGTGTTACGAAATATTTAACGGAAAAATGGACTGAACGTGGTTCACCCAATAAAATGAAAGTCACTTTAGTATCGTCTGGTAAACCATGGACCGAAGATCCAAATCATCCACATTACGATGCGGCCAAGACCGCCATTAAATATGTTTTCAATGTAGAGCCTGATATGATACGTGAGGGTGGTTCAATACCAGTCACCCTGACTTTTCAAGAGGTCACTGGCAAGAATGTTCTACTTCTGCCGGTGGGGGCGTGCGACGATGGTGCCCATTCACAAAATGAAAAAATTGATATTTACAATTATATTGAAGGGGTATGTTTGAACGTTTGGAAATTGTTTGAAGAGTTAAAAATCGTATCTTATTAATTTCTTTTGTTTTTGTTTCTCTTTTTTCTCAGACTAAACTATTGGGTGCCTATTTGTACGAAGTGGGTAAATTGTAATTAATTTGAAGTACGGAGCTGCACATAATGTATTTTGCGGTTACATCACATAGCTAAGATAAAATGAATACATCACTTTTGTATTATTATTATGAGAAGCGGAGCTTTGAAACATATTTCCAAATGCTTTTAATACCTTTATATTATGTTATTATTGTTAATAATATTAAAAAATCTCTTTTTATTAAATTCCTTTGCATATATGTGCAAATAAATCCTCATAAAGTAGGTTAACCCGGTAAAAAGTTCTAATGTACAAGGAGTTTTATGTTATTAGTTTTAATATTATTAAAAAATCTCTTTTTATTAAATTCCATTACATATTTGTGCATACATAGTGTATTATATTTGAGGTATAGGCAAATATACTTTTAGATGCTCAAAATCAACCGAATTTGAACCAAACTGTCATTCAAAAGTGATATTGTGTGTGTACACCGCTTAAGACAATCTCTAATCGATAAAAAAAATAGCTGACAGTCCAAACTGATAGTGTGTACTCGACTTTATCATTAAACACTTTTGGTGTAAATACGCCCTAGGTCAATGTCACTGTATGTGAACATTGTGATTTAAAAAATAACTGCCGTTATTAAACAATTTTAATATTAAAAAGACTCAATTAAATTGTTCATCGCGATTTTTGAAGACTTCTTCCAACACAATGCCAACAAAAATCAGATAAGATTTGTGTTTTCAAATCTTTATTTTCCCCGCCAACAGAGAAAGAGAGATAAACGCAATCATGTTTATCGTCGACGTTTCAATTGTGTTACCTGATTATCTCTTTTGGAGACTTCTTTTGATAGGCCAACGGCGAGTATATAAACTGCCATGCCTGACGTTCTCATTGACATTTACTTGTAGGACAGTGCGAGAGCAATGCAATAGTAATTGGCGGTATATTTTTTGTTTTGTTTATAAATATGTCGGAACTTCCCAGTGTTTTAAATAAATTTTTCAAGTAAGATAAAAAGTGCAAATGGATGTTCTTCTTGTAATTATGTTTTTTGAATGAGAGAGTGTTCTCTTTGTTTATATGTTGTTGTTTTTGCATTGAAGGCATGATCAAATGTGTGGAGGTGGGGTATCAGCTGTTCGATTGATGGATTGACTTATCAAAGAAAAAGGCGTTGCAATTTTAAAAAAAAAAACAAAGAATTAGAATGAATAATTAATTTATTTTTTCTCTTCTTTTTTTTGCAGTTTTGTCGATGAAAACAAATCGAAATATATTAATGTCCTGAAAACGGCCGTTGCCATACAATCCGTTTCAGCATGGGCCCATAAACGTGATGAAACTCAACGTATGGTCGAATGGACAGCTGAGAAATTGATAGCTCTTGGCGCTGAAGTCGAGTTGGTCGATATTGGCGAAGAAGAATTGCCAGGTGGCCAAAAAATACCCTTACCCAATGTGATTCTTGCCGAATTGGGCAAAGATGCCAAAAAGAAAACCATTGTTGTCTATGGTCATTTGGATGTGCAGCCCGCTCTCAAGGGAGATGGCTGGAATACTGAACCCTTTGAATTGACCGAAATCGATGGTAAATTATATGGTCGTGGTGCGACCGATGATAAGGGACCTGTCCTCTGCTGGATTCATGCCATTGAGGCATTCCAAAAGTTAAACATCGAATTGCCAGTAAATGTTAAGTTTGTCTTTGAGGGTATGGAGGAAAGTGGTAGCATAAATTTGGATGATCTACTGATGGAACGTAAAAATGATTTTCTTGCCAATACGGATTTTGTTTGCATTTCTGATAATTATTGGTTGGGGAAGAAACGTCCCTGCATCACTTATGGTCTACGTGGTTTGGCAGAATATTATGTGGAGGTTGAGTGTGCCCGCAAAGATTTACACAGTGGTGTATTTGGTGGCACTGTACATGAGGCAATGACTGATTTATGTTGGCTGTTAGGCATTTTGGTAGATAAAGATACGAATATACTTATTCCCGGTATTGAGAGAGATGTAAGTTGTATGATTATGGGTTTTGATTTGGAAGTAATTTATGTTTTTATTTCAGATTGCACCTTTGCTACATAACGAACATGAAATCTATCAAAATATTGATTTCGACGTGGAAGATTACAAGTAAGATAATTTATTATTGTGAGAATTGACAGGTCATATATTTGTTTTGTGATAGTGGGTTAGTCAGTCAGTAAAGGTTAAACTGTTTTAAAAAGGGGAAATACATATTTTTTCATGACCCACTAAAAGTGGTCATTCTATATAAGGTATGGATTAAAAAAAAAATGTAAACCCCTATATAAGAAGTGAATTTTTTTATAAATATCTGTCGAGCTCCTATATAAGGCGTGGATTCATTAAAAATATTTTTTTTCAAGATCCAATATAGAGCAATGAATTTTTTAAAAATACTTCACCTTTAAATTTTTTTTTTTGCTTTTTTCAGAAACGATGTTGGTGCCACATGTCTACCACACAACGAAGACAAAATTCGTTTACTTATGGCCAGATGGCGATATCCATCATTGTCCATACACGGTATTGAAGGTGCCTTCTATGAACCCGGCGCCAAAACCGTGATTCCCGCTAAAGTCATTGGTAAATTCTCTATACGTTTGGTACCCAACCAGGATGCTGATCACATTACCGAATGTGTTACAAAATATTTAACGGAAAAATGGTCTGAACGTGGTTCACCGAATAAAATGAAAGTCTCTTTGGTATCAGCAGGTAAACCATGGGCCGAAGATCCAAATCATCCACATTATGATGCGGCAAAAACAGCCATTAAACATGTTTTCAATGTAGAGCCGGATATGATACGTGAGGGTTGTTCAATACCAGTTACCCTGACTTTTCAAGAGGTTACCGGCAACAATGTTCTACTTTTGCCGGTGGGTGCGTGTGATGATGGAGCCCATTCACAAAATGAAAAGATTGATATTTACAATTATATTGAAGGGGTATGTTTGGACATTTAATTTTTTCCCCAAAACTGTATCTGATCTGATTTTTCTCTCTCTTTTAGACTAAACTCTTGGGTGCCTATTTGTATGAAGTGGGTAAACTGTAATTTATTTGATACTTGGAGCCCTGCATTATCTATTTAGCCGTTACACCACATAGCTAAGATAAAATGAATACATCATATTTGTATTATTTTGAGAAACATAGTTTGGAAACAAATTTCCAAAATGTAGTTTTAAGAATTTTATATTCTGTTTTCATTGTTAATAATATTAAAAATCTTTTATATTGTTAATTATTTTTTTAATTTATATTTTTTATTTGAGCTTGCAGTTGTTGGTCTTAGGGGTGTGGTATACATAAGAACTGAGTCGTCTGATGTTAAGTGTAATGGGAATAGGGTCTATATAAGGGGCTATTTTAATGTCCTTTAAAAACTTGGATTTTTTTAACATTCTATATAAGGCGTGGATTTTTAAAATAATTTTTTAAGGTCCCATTTAAGGCATGGTTTTTTAAGGTCCTATATAAGGTGTGGATTTTTTTAAGGTCCTATATAAAGCGTGTATTTTTAATATAATTTTTTAAGGTCCTATATAAGGCGTGGATTTTTAATATAATTTTTGTTAAGGAACTATATAAAGCGTGGATTTTTAAAATCATTTGTTTAAGGTCCTATATAAGGCGTGGATTTTTTTGTTATATTTAAAGACTTAGCGGTGTAAAAACCAAAAGCCAGGTTGGTTCGACAATCAGCAACCCAAGTACTGATTCGTAAATCGACAGCAGATGTAATCAGCAAAAAGGCGTGGATTTTTGAAATCATTTTTTTAGGTCCTTCTCTGTGAAAGATTTCAGCTATGGACGTCTTTCAGCTTTTCCATGAACTACTCCATTTAGCTTTTCTATGAAGACTCCTATGAGCTCGTTACAAATGTCCCCGCTCCAGTTCATTTAGGCAAGACTTCCTTCAGCTCGTCTATAAAGACTCCTATTAGCTCGTCACAAATGTCCTCGCTTCTGCTCGTCTATAAAAAACTACCTACTGCAGCTCTTCTATGAAAAATTTCCCGCTTCAGTTCTTCTATGAAATATTCCCTTTAGCTTGACGTTGAAAGACTCCCTGCTTCAGCTCTTCTATGAAAATTTTCCCACTTTGACTCATCTATGAAATTTTTCTCGCTTCAGCTCGTCTATAAAGACGTCTTTTCAAAACCATTTGCCATTTCTTTTCTTTCTTATCTTTTTTCTGAGACGTTTTCCCAAGACAATCTCCAAAAGAAACTATTTACTCATGTCCAAACATGACAAATTTTACATTTTTTGACATAAGCAATTTTGTTTTTATGATAAGACATCCGCTTGTGGTTATTATTTGTGTTATGTGGAGCCACTGTACTCTGTGTGTGAGAGAGAGAGAACGACACAACCCGCAACGACATTCGTTTATCGCCAACGTTTCAATTGTGTTCGACGTTTTTGCTTATCTCTTTTTTGGAGAATTCCCCCCAAAACATATGACAGGCCAATGGCGAGTATATAAACTGCGATGCTTGTCGCACTCGTTGACATTTAGAAAAAAACATTGCTGTGAGGAAACTGTATGTGTCAGTGCACGCGAGCGTAATATTTGCCGGTATATTTTTTTTTGCATTTGCCGTTCATTTCTAATTTATTATTGTTGTTGTTGTGATACACTGAAGATATAAGCGCGATAAGGTATTTTTTCGTTGATTAAGAAGAAGAAACAAAACAGACAAATTAAAAATTTCTTTAAAGTGAAAAAAGGAATTATTAGTAAAGAAACAAAAGAACACAACAGCAATATGTCGGAACTTCCCAGTGTTTTGAACCAGTTATTCAGGTAAGTTGAAACAAGTGCAAACTTTTGTGGTGGATGCTGTTCATTTTGTAATCTCTTGTTAGTATTTAAAGCAAAAGTAAAAAAATATTAACATTTTTAATTATTTTCCAACATGTCCATCCATAAATAGTTATTGGTTTTTCTAATAATCCAACAAATATTTTGCGGTAATCGATGTGTTGTGTTGTATGTGTGTCATAACCGTCAATTGGCATTTTACTCATGCATGTCGCCTCCATGCAAAAAAAAAAAAGAAAAAAAAAAACAGCAACAACAACGATGAGGAGCAAAATCATGCAGAAAAGAAATTAAGCTTTTACCAAAAACAGGCAACAACACAACTGAACAAATTTAAACTGTGTATGCCCGCTGTCCCAGTCCCTCCGCCTGAGCGTTTTTGTTTGTGAAAGAAGAATAAAAAAAAGATACAACATGCACTGGAGAAATTAGAAATTATTGCAATTTATATGAGACCGAATGACTTGCTAGCTGACTGACTGACTGGGTGCGATGTTTGCTATCTTGTAGAAAAACATAGGCCTTTGTCTGCATCAATTTGTTGTTTGTGGTTTCCCTAAACAAAAGATTAGAAATGTTTTTGTTGTTGTATATTTTTATTACAATGACTATAACAGCATTTTGTTTTTCTTCAGAACTGCCGGCATATCAGGAAATTGCATTAGAATGGGGAGAAAAAAATTAAAGATTATACTGCTATTGGTGTTTGTTAAAAAAATTAGCAGCTTATTTTTTATAAAATTAAAAATTCAATACATATTTGCAAGTGCATTGGAGGAAAGAAACACCATAGCCAATATCTAATCAATGTCCGTAACCGATTTCGGGTACAAGGCCTTAAATAATTGAACTTGTTCCAAGGAGTTTTTCATAGACGAGCTGAAAGGAGACTTGGTGGAGAAGTTGAATAGGAAGTTTTTCATAGTTGAACATTTGTTGACCTCGATCGCGAAATATTGCCCAATCTCAGAAAATGGAGCCACAAAAAGTTAGATTTTCATGGAAGTTATGTAGGATATCATATGGTCGGTCCCGTCAGACTATACTGCTCCGCTCACTGGTTTTAATATAGATACGGCTTTGCTAAAACATTAAAAAATTACGCCTTTATTCAACCGAACCCTTAAAAATATTTTTAAAAATTCACTCCTACGTCTGAACCCTTAAAATATCTTTAAAAAATCCCCATCTTTGGCTCAACCTAAAATTTTTCAACAATCCACAACTTTAGCTGAAACGTGAAAACTATTTTAAAAACATCCACATATTTGGTTGAACCTAAAGAAATATTAAAAAAAAAATTAACACTTAAAAATATTTAACAAAAATCAAGCCTTAAAAATATTTTTAAAAAATCACTCCTTCTTAAATACATTTGCCTGATTCTTTTCCGTTTTGTCTTGTTTAATATTTATTAAATTTTAGATATTGTAATTGAAAAACTCATTATTGCTAATTTCGAAAATATATTTCAGTGGCTCTATCTTTGTTTGGCTAATTTACTGACTTTGTTCTACATTTATACGTGATAAAGATTATAATTTATTTTCTTTGTGTACTCGTATAACATATTCAAATTCGAAATATAAAACTTCAAAAGTGATATCTCACTAAGTGTGGACTGAAAAGAAAACGAAGGAAGGAATTTTTTTAATTTTTGATAAATTAAAAAATTGTTTTATAAATTTTAATAAAAGAAAAATAGTTTTTTTTTAATATTTATTAAATTAAAAAATAGTCATATTAAAAATATTTTACGTTTTTAGAAACTTTGATACTGTTCAAAAAATATAGTAAGCTTTAAATTTCTAAAGGAAATTTTTCCTGTAACATTGAGGTCTTCAATTGCGTAGTCCTCAAAGGCATATGCAATTTCCGCAGGTCATTTTTCTTAGGCCTAAAATATATTTATGAAGGCTTCAAATAGCCAATTGACCCACAAATTCATATGGGAACATTTCGTAGGCCTGAGAAGCCAGCCTAGGTTTTTATTTAGGCCACTGAGACTTAGGAATGTTTTTTTTGTATCCCTCAGAGACCTACAAATTTCTATAGGATTTAATTTTTGTATGCCTCAGATTGATGTCAGTCTAGAAAGAGCTAAGTCATTGTGAAACCACTGTATAGCTCATTAGAAGGCGGTATACATAAAAACTTTCCCACATATAAAAAAATATATTTAATTTTTGGTTTCAAAAAAAGATTACCACTCACGTGTCTGCGGTTTATAGAACTATTATCAAAATGTCTGGGAGACATTTTCCATACACTAAAGCATTTTTTTAAACCTCCACTGGCGAATTTTTGAATTAAATAAAAAAATAGATATTTTTTATCTTTTTGTTGTCTACATACATGGTACTTAATATTAATTATACACACATTCATAATTGTAGTCATTTATTTCAAAAATAAAACAAGTTTATTGTACCGCTGATAAATCCAAAAATATGAATAATAATGATAATACTTTATTTTTATTTTATTTGTTGTATTCAAGAGAACCACTGCAATCGAATAAACCACTTCTCTCAGAGAATACATTTTTTCTTAACGTCATATACCCGTATTTAATAATAAATTATTTGTTACAAAAAAATAATAACTTATCTATGTTTTATGGCAATCACATTGCCCATATTTTATTTTTTGTTTTAATCCGTTTAAGGAATGGTAGAGGTATGATTGACTGTGTCAGCTCTGGGCAACCAATCCAATTGTTGTTATCGAAAACCAAACCCTCCAAAGAAAAATAAAAACGGCGTCCATTTTAATAACATGTTATTAATAATCACAATCATCATCAACATCATCATCGTTGTAAATAAATACTTATCAATAATTTATATATGCAATCATAAATTTCTCCGCACAATCTTTTAAATGCCTATCGTGTGGATTTTCTGTGTGTGACGATTATTAATTGAAAATGTATGGTAAAATATGATGGGTTATTTTCTGAAAAACATGTTTAGCTACAATATCATGTCATTCAGTTGTAGGTAGCATTGAATTTGAAACCACCTAAAAAAAACAATATTTTTTTTTAATTCATGCTTTTATAAAAATAATCGAAATTTCTATAGTAAATGGTAAAATATGATGGGTTATTTTCTGAAAAACATGTTTAGCTCCAATATCATGTCATTCAGTTGTAGGTAGCATTGAATTTGAAACCACCTAAAAAAAAAACAATATTTTTTTTAATTCATGCTTTTATAAAAATAATCGAAATTTCTATAGTAATTTTTTATATACCTATGAGGCCTACTAAATGCTCTTGAACGTATTTCGTGGGCCTCAGAAGCCTAAAAAATTCAACAATTTTTCTTAGGAAAATTTTTGATGGCCTCCTACACAATTTCCATAGGACAATATTCGTAGACCTCAAATGCCATCAAATATTTCAAGGAGGTCTACTAGCGGTTTACACACTTGTTTAGAAAATATTTTGGATGCCTCGCATAGGCCTATAAATATCTTTCGGAAATTGTTCGTCGTAGGCCTCTGAAGCCTACAAATTTCCTTAGAACAATTTCTAGATTACTATACGAAATTTTACATAGACACACACCAAACCCCTTTTAATGTCCATAGGAAATTTCTCATAAACCATATCTTTGAGAAAATGTTCATAAGATTAAGGAATTAAATTTTAAATCTGTTTTTAAATAATAATCAATTTGTTTTCATATTTTTTCCTCCTTTACAGCTTTGTCGATGAAAACAAATCAAAATATATTGATGTCCTCAAAACGGCCGTTGCCATACAGTCCGTTTCAGCATGGCCCGATAAACGTGGTGAAATTCAACGTATGATGGAATGGACTGCTGACAAATTGAAAGCCCTTGGCGCTGAAGTTGAATTGGCCGACATTGGTGAACAAGAATTGGTCGATGGCAAAAAGATACCCTTACCCAAGGTTATTTTGGCCGATTTGGGTAAAGATCCCAAAAAGAAAACCGTTCTCGTTTATGGTCATTTAGATGTCCAGCCCGCTCTCAAAGAGGATGGCTGGAATACTGAACCCTTTGAATTGACCGAAATCGATGGCAAATTATATGGTCGTGGTGCATCCGATGATAAGGGTCCAGTCCTCTGTTGGATTCATGCCATTGAGGCATTCCAAAAGTTGGGTATTGAAATACCACTCAATATTAAATTTGTCTTTGAGGGTATGGAGGAAAGTGGTAGCATCAATTTGGATGATCTGCTGATGGCACGTAAAAATGATTTCCTTGCCAATACCGATTTTGTGTGCATTTCCGACAACTATTGGTTGGGCAAGAAACGTCCCTGCCTTACCTATGGTCTACGTGGTTTGGTCTACTATACCGTGGAGGTGGAGTGTGCCCGCAAAGATTTACACAGCGGCGTATATGGTGGCACCGTACACGAGGCGATGCCCGATTTATGCTGGTTGCTAAGCACCTTGGTCGATAAAGATACGAAAATTCTGATACCCGGTATTGAAAGAGACGTAAGTTGTTGAATGAGTTTTAAAGATTAGTGATTTCAGTAATTTATGTTCCATTCATTGTTAACGCTCCTTTGTTTGTTTGGTTTTTTTTTCTTTCTTTCAGATTGCTCCTTTGCTCCATAACGAAAATGAAATCTATCAAAATATTGATTACGAAATTGAAGATTACAAGTAAGATAATGTTGGGTTGGTTATTTATCGCCGAACGATTTATATTTCGAGGGCATGTGTTTTGATAAAAGCAGCATTTTTTATTATTTGCTTTGTTTTTGCGACAGTGGGTCATTAGGCCAATTTGTGTGTATTTACTGTGGGTAAATTCCCGGAGAATATGAGAGGCATTTAAAGAATTTTTATTTCAACCAGGGAACTTCCCTTTAACGCCACAGAGAATTTCCCTTTTGTGTGCTTTAATCGTCATAGAGAAATTCCCTAAAATCTGAAAAATATTTTGTAACAAATCCAAGGCTTTGTCCTGACCGTTAAAAATATTAAAACAAATCGTTGGCCTCAGATGCTTGCTGGGTAATTTTTCGTAGGCCTTAGACGCTTTTAGGAATTTTTTGCTATAGGAATTTTTTCATAGGCTTCAGAGCCCTCAACTTTTCGTCAGGGAATTTTTTATAGGCCTGAATTTTAAAAAAATATTATCAAAAAAAAATCGAAGTCGAAAAATCTACACATTTTTATAAGAAGTCTTTGGTAGACCTCAGAAACCTACACAACCTCTGTAGAAAATTTTTCGAAGGCCTACAAGATGTTTCGTAGACCTGCAAAGGCCTACAAATTTCTTCGGGACATTTTTCAGAGACAATTTTTTCATAATTTTTCGTAACCCTGAGGCCTTTTAGTTTCAATGGGAATTTTTTTCATAAGCCCTAAACATTTCTCCAGTCGAAACATAGGATTTTTTGATAGACCTCAGAAGCCTACACATTTGTATAAGAAGTCGTTGGTAGTCCCCACAAAACTTCTGTAGAAAAAATTTCGAAGGCGTACAAGATTTGGCCTCGGAGCCCTAAACTGTTCTCCATAATGATTTATAAGCTTAAGAGCCCTAAAGAATTTCTATAGGAAAAATTCCGTAGTCCTACGAAATTTTTAGTAGGCCTCAGCGGCCTACAAATTTCTAGGGGAATTTTTCGTAGGCTTCAGAGGCCTACAATATTTTATGGGAACATTTTCGTATGTCTTCAGGGGCCTTCAATTTTCTTTAGAACATTTTTCGTAGGCATCCAAGGCTTAGAAATTTCTATAGATAAATTTTTCGAAGGACGAATTTCCAATAAAAAAATGGCCCACAAATTTCTATGGGAAATTTTTCAAAGCCTCAGAGGCCTACAAATTTTTAGGGAAATTTTTCGTAGGCCTTTGAGGCCTAAAAATTTCTATAGGAAATTTTTCGTAGCTTTCGAGAGGCCTACAAGTTTCTATAGGAAATTTTTTGTATGTCTTCAGGGGCCTTCAAATTTCCTTAGAACATATATAATATTTTCCTTCGGAACATTTCCGTAAACATTTTCAATAAAACCAATGACCTACAAATTTTTATAAAAAAAAAATTGTACACCTCCAGGGCCTGAAAATATTAACAGGGCATTTTTTGTATGACCCCGAGGCCTTTAAGAGCTGTAGAATTTTTTTCGTAGGCTTCAGAGGCATAGCCAATTTATTTCGGGATTTTTTTTTGTAGATCTAATTTATCCTCTAATTACCGTACTGTTAAAATAATCATTTTTCAATTCGCCTCCTCCCGCTTTTTAGAAAAGATGTTGGCACCACCCGCCTACCTCACAATGAAGACAAAACCCGTCTATTGATGGCCAGATGGCGTTATCCATCTCTATCCATTCACGGCATTGAAGGTGCCTTCTATGAGCCCGGAGCCAAGACCGTAATTCCCGCCAAAGTCATCGGTAAATTCTCGATTCGTTTGGTACCCAATCAGGATCCGGAACACATTACCGAATGTGTTACCAAATATTTGAATGAAAAATGGGCTGAACGTGGTTCACCCAACAAAATGAAAGTCACCATGTTGTCGGCTGGTAAACCATGGACCGAAGATCCCAATCATCCACATTATGAGGCTGCCAAGACCGCCATTAGACATGTATACAAGGTGGATCCCGATATGACACGCGAGGGAGGTTCTATTCCAGTTACCTTAACATTGCAGGAGGCCACTGGCAAGAATGTTATTCTCGTTCCTGTTGGTGCTTGTGATGATGGTGCCCATTCACAAAATGAAAAGATTGATATTTACAATTATATTGAGGGAGTAAGTTGGAGAATTTGTTGCGAGATTTTTGTAAACAGTAGCTGATTAATGTATTTTCTTTTTTTTTCCTAGACCAAACTCTTGGGTGCCTATTTGTACGAGGTGGGCAAATTGTAATTCAGTTTTATTTATTTATTCAGTATAGAGACAGAGCCCCTCTTGATCGAATTGGCCGTTACATCACTTAGCTAAGTTACAAAATGAAAACATCACATATTTGAGTTGTTTAGAGAAGCCGGGCTTCAAAACCATGATTTCCAAACTTTTTTTCTTTTTTAATACTTTTATATATTGTTAATAATAATAAAAGCATAATAACAAAAATCGACAATAAAAGCACTTTTTTTATAAATTATTAACAGATTTCTGGATGCAAATGCATTCACTCCATTATGCTTTAGCATAAAAATGGTTGCTATGGCATCCAAGTCCGTTGTGTGTTGCACTTATTCCGACCAGGCATCTCCATATATATTGGTTTGCATATTCTTCATGGGTCTATCATCGCTGGCCGAGGGTGGTCTTTGGAGTGTGGCACGCATAACCACCGGAGCCTCTGGTGGTAAGGGTTGCGAATAGGGATTCTGTTGTTTCTTTAGATAGTCCTCACGATTACGTTTACGCAACTCATCATAGGTCATGCCGGGTTTAACGGATTCCAAGAGGATATCTGGATCCACATGGGTTGTGCTGGGAGCTGGAAATTAAAACAACACTTTATAAATTTTTTTATTTTTGGAAAGTATTTCCATAACTCACTATCCAAACTTGGCCTATAAATATCATCCAAGCCGGCAAATTGTGGCCTTGATTCTGTATCCAAATTCAAAGCATTACCCCTGGCATCGGGATGCAAATGTTCATCACTGTAAACATCCGTGGTATTGGGACTGAACTGATCCAATGTCATACCCATACCAATACTTTGATCGGGATTCAGGAAACCCGAACCACCGCCACGTTGACTTTGACGCTGTCGTAGGATTTTCGGCACATTTTTGTTGATAACTGAATTTGCCCAAGAAATAACCAACGATGACACCCAATATTACCTTGGGTGCAGCTCCGTAACGTATGTTGGGCTAGAAAGGTATTGCATAATTAATATATTTTCAATCGCGATAAATATCATGTAAAAAATGCCTTTAGAGGCCTACAAATGTTTATAGAAAATTTTTCCGAGGCCTAAAAATTTCCCTAGGAAGTTTTTCGAAAGCCGACAAATTTCTATAGGAAATTATTGGTAGGCCCCAGAGGCCTACAAATTTTTATAGGAAATTTCATAGGCCTCAGAGGCTTACAAATTTCTATTGGAAATTTTTCGTAGGCCTCAGGAACCCATAGAGGTCTATAAATTTCTATAGGTAAATTGTCGTAGGCTTCAGAGGTCCACAAATTTTTATGGCAAAATTTTCGTACGCCTCAGAAGCCTACAAAATTTCTGTAGGAAATTTTTCGTAGGCCTCACAAGCCTACAACATTTTCATGGAAATTTTTCGAAGGCTTCAGAAGCCTAAGGAAATTGTTCGTAGGGCTCAGACTTACAAATTTTTATAGAAAATTTTTCGTAGGCCTCAGAGGTCTACAAATTTCTACATATAGGAAAATTGTCGTAGACTTCAGAGGCCCACAATTTTTAATATCAAATTTTCGTATTTTTATTTGCTATGTTTTTGCGACAGTGGGTCATTAGGCCATTTTGAAGTACAATTTACTGTGGGTAAATTCCCGGGGAAAATTGAGTGGGTGAATGTGAAGAATAAAATACTGAATCAGCATGTATTTGTATTAAATTCGGGTAACTTCCCCATAACGTCACCGAGAATTTCCCTTTGTGCACTTTAATTAAAAAATATCGTCATAGGGAAATTCCCTAAAATCGACACGTTTATGTTGATATTAAAAATATGTTTTAAAAATCCAAAGCTTTGTCGGAACATTAAAAATTATTTAAAAGAAAATCGAAAATTTAGGCCTTCCGCTACTAGCCTTTCAAATTCTTTAGGAAATTTTCTCAGAGACTTACAAAATCCAATGCGCAGTTTTTCGTATGCCTCAGAAACCTACAAATTTCTTTAGGACGTTTTTCCTAGACCTCAAAGGTCTTCAAATTTCTTTAGGAAAGTTTCCGTATGCCTCGCAGGCTTTCAAATTTACATAGATAATTTTAAGAGAGGCCTACATAACTTCTATAAGAATTTTTTTTCGACACTACCGAGGTATGAAAATAGCAAAAAAAAAAAAAAAATGTAGGCCTCAAAGGTCTGAAAATATCAATCGGAATTTTAGTATGCCTCTAAAGGTAATTTTTCGTGGGCCTTCAGAGGTCTAAAACTGTTTTTAGAAAGTCCTCAGAGTCCTTAACATTTCTCTAAGACATTTTTTCATAGACCATATCGGCTTAAAATTCTCTGCATTTTTTTTTTTTTTTTGGCCTGAAAATATCAATAGGAAATTTTTCGTGGGCCTGCAGAAGCCCAAACCTGTCTTTAGACATTTTTGAAAGACTTCAGAGACTTTAAAGTTATTCTAGGAAATTTTTCATAGGGCCAGTGACAGTGGGTCATTAGGCCATTTACAATTTACTGTGGGTAAATTCCCGGGGAAAATTGAGTGGGCGAATGTGAAGAATAAAATACTGAATCAGCATGTATTTGTATTAAATTCGGGTAACTTCCCCATATCGTCACCGAGAATTTCCCTTTGTGCGCTTTAATTAAAAAATATCGTCATAGGGAAATTCCCTAAAATCGACACGTTTATGTTGATATTAAAAATATGCTTAAAAAATCCTAAGCTTTGTCGGAACATTAAAAATTATTTAAAAGAAAATCGAAAATTTAGGTCTTCCGCTGCTAGCCTTTCAAATTCTTTAGGAAATTTTCTCAGAGACTTACAAAATCCAATGCGAAGTTTTTCGTATGCCAAAGAAACCTACAAATTTCTTTTTTTAGGAAAATTTCCGTATGCCTCGCAGGCTTTCAAATTTACATAGATAATTTTTAGAGAGGCCTACATAACTTCTATAAGAATTTTTTTTGGAGACTACCGAGGTATGAAAATAGCAAAAAAAATGTAGGCCTGAAAATATCAATCGGAATTTTAGCATGCCTCTAAAGGTAATTTTTCGAGGGCTTTCAGAGGTCTAAAACGGTTATTAAAAAGTCCTCAGAGTGCTTAACATTTATCTAAGACATTTTTTCATAGGCCATAGCGGCTTAAAATTCTCTGCATTTTTTTTTTTTTTTTTTTGCCTGAAAATATCAATAGGAAATTTTTCGTGGGCCTGCAGAAGCCCAAACCTGTCTTTAGACATTTTTGAAAGACTTCAGAGACTTTAAAATTATTCTAGGAAATTTTTCATAGGGCCAACAAATTTTTATAGGAATTTTTCGTAAGCCTCCCTGAGAGGCCAACCATTTCTATAGGAAATTTTTCGTAGGCCTCAGAGGCCTACAAATTTTTATATAGGAAATTTTTCGTAGGCCCCAGACACCTACAAATTTCTATAGGAAATTTTTCGAAGGCCTACAAATTTTTATATAGGAAATTTTTCGTAGGCCTCAGAGGTCTACAAATTTGTAAAGGAAATTTTTCGTAGGCCTAGAATTTTCTATAAGATTTTTTTTTTGTGGATGTCCGAGGCATAAAAATATCAATAGGATTTTTTTGTATGCCCCCGAATTTTTTTGCGGATTAATTTGCTCTCCTATATTACTAAACTGCTAATTTAATTGCCTTTTTTCAATTCGCCTCCCTCCTCCCGCTTTTCAGAAAAGATGTCGGCACCACCCGCCTACCCCACAATGAAGACAAAACCCGCCTACTCATGGCCAGATGGCGTTACCCATCTCTATCCATTCACGGCATTGAAGGTGCCTTCTATGAGCCCGGAGCCAAGACCGTGATTCCCGCCAAAGTTATCGGCAAATTCTCCATTCGTTTGGTACCAATCAAGATCCCGAACACATTACCGAATGTGTTACCAAATATTTGAATGAAAAATGGGCTGAACGTGGTTCACCCAACAAAATGAAAGTCACCATGTTGTCGGCTGGTAAACCATGGACCGAAGATCCCAATCATCCACATTATGAGGCTGCCAAGACCGCCATTAGACATGTATACAAGGTGGATCCCGATATGACACGCGAGGGAGGTTCTATTCCAGTTACCCTAACATTGCAGGAGGCCACTGGCAAGAATGTTATTCTCGTTCCTGTTGGTGCTTGTGATGATGGTGCCCATTCACAAAATGAAAAGATTGATATTTACAATTATATTGAGGGAGTAAGTTGGAGAATTTGTTGTGAGATTTTTAAACAGTAGCTGACTAATATATTTTCTTTTTTCCTTTAGACCAAACTCTTGGGTGCCTATTTGTACGAGGTGGGCAAATTGTAAACCATTTTTTTATTTATTTATGCATGCAGTATAGAGACAGAGCCCCTCTTGATCGAATTGGCCGTTACATCACTTAGCTAAGTTACAAAATGAAGACATCACATATTTGAGTTGTTCAGAGAAGCCGGGCTTCAAAATCATGTTTTCCGAACATTTTTTAATACTTTTATATATTGTTAACAATAAAAGCAAAATAACAACAAAATATTCACAATAAAAGCACTTTTTTATAAATTATTAACAGATTTCTGGATGAAAATGCATTCACTCCATTATGCTTTAGCATAAAAATGAACGCTATAGCACCCCAGTCCGCTATTGTTGAGTGTGTTTGCATTTATTCCGACCAGGCATCTCCATATTTATTGGTTTGCATATTTTTCATGGGTCTATCATCACTGGCCGAGGGTGGTCTTTGGGGTGTGGCACGCATAACCACCGGAGCCTCTGGCGGTAAGGGTTGTGAATAGGGATTCTGTTGTTTCTTAAGATAATCCTCACGATTGCGTTTGCGCAACTCATCATAGGTCATGCCGGGTTTAACTGGTTCCAAAGGGATATCTGGATCCACATGGGTTGTGCTGGGAGCTGGGAATGAAAATGTCATTTACTATCTGTTCTCTAATAGGAAATAATTGCGATTACTCACTATCCAAACTTGGCCTATAAATATCATCCAAACCAGCAAATTGTGGCCTTGATTCTGTATCCAAATTCAAAGCATTACCCCTGGCATCGGGATGCAAATGTTCATCACTGTAAACATCAGTGGTGTTGGGACTGAACTGACCCAATGTCATACCCATACCAATACTCTGATCTGGATTCAGGAAACCCGAACCACCGCCACGTTGACTTTGACGCTGTCTTAGTATCTCAGCCAATCGTGAATTGGGTAATGCCATAATTTTCTCGGCACATTTTTGTTGATAACTAAATTTGCCCAAGAAATAACCAACAATCACACCCAATATTACTTTGGGTGCAGCTCCGTAACGTATGTTCGGCTAGAAAGGTATTGAAATATTAATATATGAATTTTGTATGGCGATAAATATCGTGTACAACTTACCGCTAGGAAACCTTGCTTCACACCCAAAAAGGCAGCCACACCAAATGTGGTGCCCAATGGTAGGGAACGTTGAAAGAATGACTCGGTATTACATTCACGGAAGACGCGAAGCTCATCCGATGTGAATTGATAATTGGCCTGGAAGGGGGTAAAATTGAAGTGAAGTTTATAAAGAGTTAAACATCATGAAAAAAATAAAAAGAATTTTCTTATATCTACACAATTTTTTAGACCTCCAGAGACCAAAAAAATTTCTATTGTATATTTTTCGTAGGCCTCAGGGGCCCGAAAATATTATATTTGAAAAAAAGACATACAAATTTTTATAGGAAATTTTTCGTAGGCCTCAGAGGCCAAAAAAATTCTATAGGAAATTTTTCGTAGGCCTCAGAGGCCTACAAAATTCTCTACAAACATTTTCGTAGGACATACATATTTCTGTAAAAATGTCTATAGAAAATTTTTCGTATGTCTTGAACAAATTGTACGGGGCCAAGGGAGTTATATATATGGACGTTTGGTAGGGAAATTAAAAAATATACTGACAAGGACCTATGTTGATAATGCTCTAACATAATGGGGTTTTTATGCATTTTAGGTTAGAAAATATGCCTAGTCCACAGTATATGGAGACATTGTCATATACTAGGCTTATATTGAGAATTTTCTGCGAGATCCGAAATTTTGTATGGAATCCAAAACTTTGTATGAAGGCTATGTCAGAACCTAAACCTGAAATGCATTTTTGCCAAGAAGTCTTTTTACCTTCGAGAACCATAAATTACAGTATATCAGTTTAGGAAAGGAGCATTGAGCCATGAATATACCTGAAATGGGGTGAAACTGTTATATAGAGGTAATGTCACAACATGGATATATATTGAAAATGCTCTAACGGGTCTTAGACCTTCTGAAAAATGTCAAAATACATAGACTTCAGTTGAAAATGCATATGGAGCTTTTAAATATCTAAAATGACAGTATATCAAAATATGGACTTATAATGACAATTTTCTGCAAGAGGTATTTCAGGACATCATTTTAAAAATAATACACAATTAACTTAGTGGCAAAATTCAAGGGTCTCAGCGAAACAATCCGCGACCTGTTATTTTGGATAGTCAAATGGTCCCAGGTTGTTCAGGAGTCAGTGCAGGCGCATAACATAAATACCACCTCTTACAAAGAGGGCAAGTTAACGGAAAACAGTTCCATCTGGAAAATCGGAAAATTCTATAGAGTTCGATTCTATTTTAGGATACAATATTGATCTGTTTTGGTGCTGCACGAATTTTATAAAATTTGTACATTTTTGCAAGTTATTAAAAATTATTCTTTGGAGTTCGAAACATCTGGACTCCCATTGACATAGTGCCTTCGATTTCCCAAACACCGGTTCCGTTCGAAAATATTGTCAATTCTATAGGTAAACATTCCTTTGTTTAACACTTGAACTTTCATTATTTCACTTACCAATGGATGTTGAGGCCTTTGGTCGGGCGGTGGTGGATTCATGGGACCCACTGGTTGATTCATTGGAGGATGATATTTATTTCACAATTGTTGATGGAAAATTAACAACAAATAACACAAAAATTATACAACTGTCGTGCCGGGTAGGAGAACAAAGCTGCTGCTGATTGCAATTTGTCCATGACGGGTGATTACTAGTTTGACGGCGTTAAATGATGCGGGGAATTACAATGCATTAAAGGCAGAAGAATAAATATTATTATTTTGATAATAATTTTTAATTTTTTATTACATTACTTCATTTTGCCTTAAATGTTTATAATATTTTTTTAAAAGTGGGATTTTTGTTTTATTTAAATACGTTAATAATAATAAAGGTACCGCTAACTTTATTATCGCAAGACTTTGTACTCTGTTACCGGCATTTGCAACAGCTGATTTGCGTTTTAAGCAGTGTTGACACTGTGCACGTTAAATGTAAAAACGCCTTTTTGGGTGAAATGTATATGAAATATTCAAATGATGGAAAAATAAACCATAAATAAATAAAAAATGAATTGAAACTTGTTTAAAATAAAATTATGGTACATTAAAACATGCTAATGAATCGCATCACTGGAATAATAACTTCTTAATACTATTCTTCCCAAGAGCGGGTTGTACATTTTTATACCCTCGGCTGTATGGCTAATGGGGATATATACTATGGTAAAATAATACAAGATAGGATAACTTAAGGTGAATAAATCAACTCTGTGGGTAGTGGCTTCTTCTGTCAAATATAATATATAAGAAACGTACACAATAATTGGTTGTGTTCATTTGATATTTTTTAATACATAACTAAAAACGCGAAAATTTAATGGAAGGTTATGATTTCTTTCCAAACTTCAGTACACAATATCATGAAATTGTCTTTTATATCCACAAAATAAAACGTATTTGGTCTGTTCCCGTACTGCAAGAATCTACTATTTTTTACTACGATAACGAATTTTCCATTATGATATCAAAGAAAATAGTAAAATCTAGTAGATTCTTGCAGTACGGGAATAGACCAATTACTTCAGTATTGTATTTCAATTAAATTTCATATATTTCAATTTAATATGAATTTATTTGACGTGGTATTAAAAACAATATGTACACACACACACAAAATATCTATGTATTTTGATTTGATGGAACAAGCCACGATAAGAAAAAATTGTAATCAGTTAATAGCTATGATAATAATTATACCTTATACCTACCCTATCTTATAATAATTATACGATATTTACATCAACCATACAAAACTACAGCGTCCAGTTAAATCCAGCAATCAAAACAGATGATCGATGAAAAATACATATTCTTTAAAAGATTTGTAGATGAATTCCAAACCGAAATTAAATATTAAAAAAACTGGGATTCAGCCTGACTATTTTGCAAAAACAAATACAAATGGTATCCCAAATAAACCGCCAACACTACTGAAGTTGTAGACGCAGGCACGGTTAAACTGTTTGGTTTGTTGCTGTACACTAGCAACACCAACAAAGTGGGAAAGGTGTGGTATTGTTTGTAAATGCCTTGTTAACCTCGAAGTGAGGCTCCAGCGAAATTCTCATGCAGTTTATGTCGTTGGTCAGCTAAGTACTTCCCTTTGTTACAAGAGACATTTGGGTATGAAAGGTTTTTTGTATAGAAGCAATAGCTTCTGGGGAGAATATCCCAACAAAAAACTAAGGGAACTGATGAGGATCAGTGGCGTGATCCGAAACTATAGTCTTCCCTGCCTTACCCCTCGGCAAACAATGCCATACATTCCCCACTAATAAATAGTTGTTTTTTATAATAACAACAAACTGGGATTCAGCCTGACTATTTTGCAAAAACAAAATACAAATGGTATCCCAAATAAACCGCCAACACTACTGTATATTTTTATTCAATAAATGTTTTTATTCAAATATTTTAAAATAATATTCTTATAAACTACGTTACATATTAACAAAAATATATATTTTTTGCAAAATATAATTTTTTTTAAAATTGAAATTTTTGCAAAATAAATATTTGCTTATATATAATTGTTATTAAAATTATTGTTTGTTATTATTATTATTTTCAATAACATTGGCATTTTCTTGTTCGCTGCTTGTCTTATTATTACAATTTTTACCAAACGGCTTTGGACACATCACAGCCGGTGTAAAGTACCACGAATGTTGCTGCTCCTTACGTTGTTTTATCATTTCGCCAATTTTCGAGTCGGGTAATGCCATTAACTTTTCAGCACATTTTTGTTTGTAGCTCCATTTACCAACGAAATAACCCATAATTACACCCAAAACAACTTTGGGTATGGCACCGTATTTAGCATTGGGCTAAGGTTGAAAGAGTGATTTATTATTTAGAAATATTGAAAATAATGTATTTTGATTTAAATATCTTACCTTTAAGAGACCATTTTTAACACCCAAATAGGCGGCACCTCCAAATGTCAAACCCAAGGGCAAGGCACGTTGATAAAACGATTCCTGATTACATTCATGCAAGACACGCAACTCCTCGGAGGTGAAGTGGGGTCGCCTCTGGAAAAAATTAAAAAGGAAATTTTTTAAATTAATATATTAGTTGTGTTCCCATACTTTATTTTAAAATAGTAAAGCTAGTAAATGGATAGATGCCAAAATTGCTGTTAGAGTACAAAAAGGTCTGGAATCATCCAAAATCACCACAGCTACCATGATATAATTTATTACAAGTTAGGGGATAGCTACCAACTGATTACAATTTTTTCTCAAGGTACCTTGTTCTGTCAAATGAATACAAATTACATTTAAATATATTCAAATTTAATTCAAATGAAAATGATTTTTTTACTGAAACAAACATTTAATGAAATTCCCTATCGGTCTCTGGGAAGACATCTGTTGAAAATATGTCAAATAAGCACAACCACTTGTTGCGTATATTTTTGACATAAGAAGCCACAACCTACAGAGTTTTTTTTTATTTACCTCAATTTGTTCTTGTATAATTATACCATGATTGCATACATTTCCAGTAAATTCACATATGAGAGGTGAACCCGCAAAAAAATTAAAGGTAGGTACATAACATTTTAGATTCAGATAATAATTATCCATCTTATTATATATATATTATATATATATATTATATATATATATATATTATATATATATATATATATATCACAAAAATTCATTATTAAAGAACTTTATCAGTACCGGCATAACCGGCTAGATCGTATCGTTAATTAAAACCAAAAACATTACAATCAAATTTATTCCATTTTGAAGCAAACAAGACTTTTTGTTGTTTTGCTTTGTAAAAAATTCTGGATTACTCTTTTTTGGCAAATTAACACACACAATCCTTAATTATATATGCATGTTTTTTTTTGTATGACATCAGTACCCCTCCATATTGAATTGATGATAATTTATGCGTTGTTGATCTACTTCAACTTACCCAATGTTGGCATCCTCCTCTGCAGTCCTCTTTGGTACTCTCCGTTGTATTCAAATTTTGTTGAACAGGGGTTTCCTGAGTTATTTGAGGTTCTTGGGGTTTCATTTTGGTTTTATTATTTTATTAAAAAAAGAAAAAAATTAAATTTAAAATTGTTTGTTCTAAATCTTCCGATTTGTTCTTCAGGTGCAACACTGCCCAATCTGTTGTTTGCAATGACTGTTTTGTTTACTGGATTGTTATTACCTATTATATGCCCGTATGTGATTAGCAATTTGGAATTTCGGGAGCAGTTGCTGATTTCAATGTATTGGTTAGATATCATTCGGTTTTGTATGTATATTCGTTGTTTATTTTGATGGCTTATCAACATTTGTTGCTAAACATAAAACTTAATGACGAAATCATATTTTAATTTTATGCAATATTTTGTATAAATTGCCAATGTTTCTAATCAATCCTGTATTGATAAAGAGATAACGATTCTAGAAAAAAAGATTAGCGGTGCGTGCCTTCAATTTTCTTAAGAATATTATATTGATAATTATAAAAATTATTTTCATAATAAATTTACAAGTTTTAAACAGCTAATTATTTGTGAGTTTAAATAAAAATATTAAAATATATTGGATTTGCAGTTCAAAATTGATATTAAAAAAAACTCCGAAGACTTTTTCATTGACGGCCATTACTTGAATGACAGCATGTAATAACGATAGTGTAACAACGGCACTTGCATATACAATACACAATTATTTGCTTTTTTTGTTTTTATATTTATAATTAATTTTAAATAATAATAATTCACTTGATTATAGGGTATTAACTTAAATAATATAAAGAAATAATTATCTAATAAAATGAACAGTAGTTTTTGGCACTATACATTATTATTGAATGTCATTGACGGTTATCGCTGTAACGTGTAATAACGGCACTTGCAACTACAATACATAATAATTTGTTTATTTTTTTGTTTTTAAATTTATTGTTATTTTAAAATAAAATGATTCATTTGATTTTAGGGTATTAACCTAAATAATATGAAAAATAATTAAATAACAAAATAAACTCAGTAAGGTAGCCGCATAGGCAAATTTTTACAACAAACATCGGTTGTTGTATTTTGATATGTCAAAAATATTTTGCCAAAACAAACAGATTTTTTTAAACAAATTCTTGTAGAAAATGTTAATAAAAGTATTACCAAACAAGCTCTTCAAAATTCGGAGATTTTCATTTATACTTTTGTTTTATTCTACATTACAACATTTTTGACATTTATTTGCACTAACAGCTGGGCCGATGTGGCTACTTTATTAAATATACCTTGGTCCGCTTTTCCACAGGCAGATTTTTATTTGGCAAATTTTTTGTTTTCTCTTTTGAAATTTTCGGTTGCTTTTCCATTAGCAAATTTTTCTTTGCCAAATTTGCGAATCAAAATACAAAAGAAAGAAAAAAACGCGTTTGAATTTTAAAGAATTTTTTATATATTTTATTATATAAATTGCAAAAATTAAAAATTAAATTTCACTTGCACAAATTAAAGCAACAGGTTTGTAAATAAAAGCCGGCTGTGTGTCAGTAAAACGAATAGGTTAAAAAGAAAATGTCAACAAAATTGTTTTCAGTAAACAGAGCAAAGCAGAATTTGTGTGTACCGCAAATTCTGAACAGGCAAAGTTTTGTTTTTCTTCCTCGCACCCCTCTCGCCTACAAACTCAGTATTTGCCAAATAAAAATTTGTTTGTGGAAAAGCAGACTTGACATATGTATTTGTAACATATGTCTCTCAAAATGTGTAATAACGATAGTGTAACAACGGCACAAGCAAATAAAAGGCAAATAAATTAAACAAAATGTCTTTCAAAATTATAAAATAATAATCAAAAAAAATATCTAATTTAATGGAATTAAGAATTTGTTATTCTTTATTAGTGCAGGTCGACATGTAATACCGGATTTTTTAATAGTAAAGCTAGTAAAAATCTAAGGCTACGTTTTGACTACTAAATCCACTCGAACTCAAACGACAATTCCATTGCGTATACGTCACGTTAATCCTGTTCTCAAATCCAGTGGATTATATTTGACACATGCGTTACGGAATTGACATATGAGATCGAGTGGATTTCGTAAATCTTAACGTACCTTAAATATATGAAAATCGGTCTAATGGTACGTTTACATTGTACCGGATTTATTAATACCGACTTTTACACATTTTAAACGATGTTTTGAAAAATTTTAAGGTTCATATAAACCCTTTATATAGCGATTTAAAATGCGCCTGAGCTAAATTAATTTCGAATACGGCAGAGTTATAATTTTTCCATCGTCATGTACAGTATAACTTTTTCTCGGTTTAACCTATTTTATGATGTATTTATTTGACATATATCCAATGGAATTGACCATATAAACCCACTGGGTTAACGAAAACCAGTACAATGTAAATGTACGGCAACCCTGCAAAAATGTCTTATGTAGATGCCGTTAAAGCTTTGCCTGCTATTGTTTATGGGAGCGCACCTCATTTCTGTGTAATATCGGCCATATAGAACGATTAGTTTTATTGTTTTCATACAAAAGTTTTTGCGCCAAAATGTTATTGCATGCACGAATTATTCGCAAATCAGTTTTTAGAATTGACAAAAGGTGCCAAATTGCATACTTGATCTAATTTTGTAATCCCAAGAAGAAACCTATTGAAGTCTTTAATGTTTTCCGAACGAGCGGCTATTTCTATTGAACCAATATTTGCAGTATTTGTGTTATTTATATAAAATCAATACGCAACATCATAATCAGGTACGTATTAAATCAATATCCTTCGGATTCGCAGTGGTTGGGAAAGCTCATTTTTAGCATAAGAGGAAAGACTTTAAAGTTCGTTTATGATTTTAGAGATTTTTATATAAACGACTACGCCTACCGTAATAAGGTGAATATTTGAAGGTGGGACTTATCGGTACACTCCTTCTTGTACCTCCACTCCATGGCAAGCCATAATATTTTTACAAAATATAGATTTAGTGCAATTATCGACTATGCCCCGTTTGATTCTATCTCAATACGGAAACGATATTTGTCGATGTTGTGACTTTAAACTTTGCCATGGTGAGACAAGGTCACATGCCGACACTGTAAACACTACACAATAGGCCACCAGATTGTTCACAGAGATTTTAGAGAGAACACTATTCTGTAAGAATTGCCTGTAGTATTAAAATGTTAGAATAAATATATAATCTACAAATGTAGTTATGTGCCGGAGAAGTTGAAACCTTATAAAATAAAAACCCGATTTCCGGAATTATCCTTCTTAATTTAGTGTTTATTGAGTACAAATTTATATATAACTTAAAAAACTAATATGCAACTGAAATCAAATTTCCAATGTTTCAAACAGTTAACCAAAAACCACCACAATGACAATACTGCCATCTTTGGCACCAGGCCTTGAGAGCTGCCGTCTTTGCGGTCTTATTGATGTTGTTGATGAAGCCACAGCGTATACATTTACGTATGGTTTTCACTTTGGAACCCAAATGTAGATTACTGACATCATCACGACAACTGTTGGAGAAGACCACCTCATCATAGTGCAAGTCCTGCAAAGCTAATGGTTCAACAGATGTTTGGAAAACAAATGGGAACAACTTTGCGGTAGCATGATTATTTAATAGTGTTGTGGGTGTGTTTGTATGGCGACTGGGTATAAGAACCTGTGTCGACAGGACACTACAATCATCGAGTAAGACTTCATCGGGTTCATTGGGATTTTGATAGAGACGTGTTAGCAGACGAAAGAGAACGGGGAGAACATCAAAATTTTCCACTGACTTTGTGTAGATGGGCAGACATTGGGGAATGAGCAGTCCCCAAATTCGTATCATAACCAACAGCTCGCGGATACTGCTAATGGCTATCATATCACGACTGATGTCGTAGCCATGTTTCTTGTTGAATTTTGCCTTCATAATATCTTCGGGTAGTTTGTTGAGAATACTGAGTGCCAAATCGGCAACCCATTGTATTAGCTGCTGGAGACTTTGTAGCGTGGTGGGTTCCACGGTGAAATCCTTGGCATCCAGGACACATAACACCTTATCCACATCGTTGTATTGAGGGTTTGGATCGGATAAAATCATTGAGAGATTTTCTGCCGGCCCCTTATCTTGGGAACTTAAATCAGAGGGTCGTAGAAGACTTTTAAAGGCAATGGAAATGGAATGTAGGGTTATGAGATTATCGAAATCCTGTTGTTTGGTTTGTATGCGACAGAGGTTGCTCTTCAGCGACAGGAAATTTGAGTAATAATATTGACGGGTAAAATTATGCTGCCTTGTAAAATTCTCGGTGATTTTTTCGGCCAAAACCTCCAAATTGGGTAGATTTAACATCAGCACATCACTGGCATCAATGCCCGTGACAATGGAGTATTCCAAAAGGGCTGCTGGTAGTGAAAGCGGATTCATTTTGTAATTTTTATCATAATGATGATTCGGCACCTGCATGGCATACATCTGGCCCAAATTATCGAAAATAATTAGCAACTGATTGAGAAAAGTTATATCGGAGGCCAATAGTTTACATGGTGCCCTTTGATGATCCTCGGGCATTCTTTCTACCACAGGTGAGGCCAACTTCTTTAGGCCCATTTCCAATACTTGCACCGAATAATCCTTGAGGGTGGCAAATATCAGCAGAGAATCTGAGGGCAGCTTTGTCAAACAAATATCACAAACTTTGGAAGTCAGTGACAGCTTCGCAGACAGCTCCCATTGTTCCCATTGCACAAAATCGGTTTTATTCTTCTGCAGCAATTTATGGACCGCTTGATGTTTCTTCGTCAAAATCCATTGTTCCAAAAAACTACCATCCATATAATCATAGACCACAAAGAGCAGTTCTTCTCCGTTGATGTAACGCCAGCGGATATGCGACACCTGTTTGGATTCCAATTCATCCTTTTGAAAGAAAACACTTGTCATGGAACCACATTTTAGGGCGAGAGATTCTTGATTTTCCTTTTCAATGGCCACTTTGTAACAGTTTATCAATGGTTCATTCCAACTGTTCACCACCACACTAAATGTACCACTGGGACTATAATCCACACAGCTGTGTGTAATATAGGTTCGAGATAACTCCAAACTGTACGAATGGATATTCAACTCAGTCGGCTGGGCACTATTACCGGCTGCATCAAACATTGGCGGCAACAGCTGGGGTATAGAAAATGCCCCCATCAACCCCGAGGAGGATAAAACAAAACATCCCTCCACGGGAGTGTTACCAAAATGTGTTAACGATGGACGAAAATCAGATCGTTCAAATTTATCCGAATACGCTTGCAAATCCTTCTTATGGGTATTGAAAAACATTTGTTTACCATTGTGAAAAAATTTCGCCTGGATAATTTCTTCAAAGGGCAAATTTGCCTTGTACACCAATTTCCAGGTATTGATGCCATGATTCCGCGTCATCCATATTTCACAAACACCATGCTTGTAGCCAATCAACAACAATTCCCCCGTTTGATTCCATTCCAATACGGAAACTATATTTTTCGAGGTGGTGATCTTAAAACTTTGCCATGGCGAAACAAGGTCACACACCGACACTGTGCTCTGCAGACCCTGATGTACACAATAGGCCACCAGGTTCTTCACGGAGATTTTACAAAGGACACAATTCTGCAAGAGGTAGCCATCCTTATTGCCACCAGGATTTTGGACTTTATAGAGAATTGTCATCTTCTGCAGATATTTTTATATCCCAGTAAGAAGGTTGAACCAAGGTGTATATTTTACTTCAAATTGGGCAGACTTTATTTCCGGCTGATGTAGAATCCGCTCCGCTTGCTATTGGTAGTAAGAAATCTAACAAATCGCTGATTTTTATTTTCTTTAATTAAGGCCACAAAATAGCTTTCCAAGATCAACAGACGGATTTGTTTGGCTGTCGGCTGTCAGTTTTTATTTTTGCCGATCTAGGGTTGCCACATCCAACAAAAAATTGCAAACAAATGTCGACGACTTTTAAAGCGGCTATGAAGGGGTTTGGCAACATGCCAAATCTTAATGTCAATCAACCCGATATTGAATTTTTTCCATAGTAAATCGATTTAAAAAAAAATGAGGACTATAGACAAACTCAGGTATAAAAATAGTTGGTCTTTTCCCGTACCAGGATCTTATGGGGTAAACAACATTTTATTAAAGCATTTTCAAGGTCCCGTCTCATTGTAATTCCTTTTATAGCAGAAATGGCTGTAATTTGGCATTCTAGGTTTTCGTGTGTAAAAAAACTTATTTGCAGACATTGTCTATATATGTTCATGTATTAACATACCTCCATGATTTATTGTTGTCTCGACCATCTGTCAACTTTTTCCTTATAATATTTCAAATGGTTGGCAACATTGCACAACGAATTCAGATAGAAATTACGCACTTTGACAGTTAATCGAGACATCAGCTGCGCTAAATGGACTACCTATTTATTGTTCCATGCATACTTCTATTTAAAGTCCCTCGCCACCTTTTCGTTATGCCGAAAGTCCCATCGGAATTTTACAAGTTTTTATTTACCTACAAACAGCTGCCTACTACTCTCAAAATCGATCTTTAAAACCCTTAACTGTTTTCGATTTTGAAATCCCTAACTTCACTCCGCGTATTTTGTTTTGTTCCTCGTATTTATTAACAATTCTAATTTCCTTCTTTTTTTCTTCACGAACAAGAACAAGCAGACATTTTTCTCCGTGTATCTGTGTGTGTGTTTGTGCGAATGTACGTTGTGTCTGTCAAACACATTCTGTCATTCCTGCTGTCATTCGGCTGGTCGTTCATAGTTTCATAAGTAAATTAAAAATTGCAAATTTTCATTAAATTTTTGGAACGTATACGAAATGTTTTGTGCCTACACCCATTCGTTGGTAAGTTCTCCACATCGGGGTTATTTTTTCTATAGGAAATGAATGAGACTTTATCTTTATTTTGCAGCCCTATTTGTATTTGGGTAATTTCGGCCGAAAACCACAAAAAGTCTACAGTAGCAGCAGCAGCCACAGCAGCAGCAGTCATGGACAATTAAGGACAATATCAAGTCGGTGGCATCATCTTGGAAAACGACGTGATGCTGTAAATGGCTCCGCCACTGCATCAAGAAACATTTTGAGAATACCACAAAATCTGCAACACATGGTCCGTGAACATAATGCCACAGCACAGACATTCTTCGAATCGGCCAGAATAAATGATTTGCTACAGAAGGCCGCCAAAATGTTGTTAACCTCACAGCAGGTTAATGTCGATGGTGTAGGCATCAGGCATGTAACAACGGGGAAGGGTAAAAATGCACGTCACCTCATCGAATTTTCAATGGGACAACAGATGTGGACCCAAACAATGCCAGCCAAAACCTATTCCAAACTCTTGCAATCCATTATACCTCAACATCAATTGTATGTATAGAAAGGAGGGGGTTTTGAGTTATGAGAGGAATAATTTCCTGATTTTCTTTCCCTCCTATTCTTTTGTTTTTCCAGAAAATTTGTACGTACCTTTAAAACAGATCGTTCCATAGCCGCTGAATTAAGACGTAATCCAACAGTGGCATCACGTCTGCGTACTGCCTTCAGTGGTAATCCTCAAAAATTTGATAGTGAACTGAGCAGTAGTTCGGAAACGCTAAAGAGATTATTGGAAAAATCTTCCGAAGGTGGTCCTGAAAAGAATATGGTAAGTTTGAAGGGAGATCTTTGAAGATGATTTCAATTAGGAATGATATCAAAGAACATAAGTCGTCTATAGAAATAGTCAACCTGAAAATATACGTCCGTTAGCTTCATAGAATTAGACACTCTGGACCTTCAGTTTGTTTATTGAAATAGTCTCCCAAGGCCTGAAAGCTCCTCTATAGAAATAGACTCCTGGGCGACGTCTGTAGAAATTGTCTCCCTGACCCCTACGTTAGCTCGTCTATATAAGTAGACTCTCTAAGACTATAAGGATACCTTCTGGTCTTTTATAAAAAAAAAAAAAATATCTACTGGTATTCTATAAGAAGACATTCTGGTATCTTATCAGCCATTCTGGTCTCCTATAAGAATACCATCTGGTTTCCTATAAGAATACCGGCAGGTTGAAGACCTTCTGGTCTCTGGTCTTTTGGCCCTTCTATATAAGACCTTCTTTGTCCCCTATAGGACGACATTCTGATCCTTCTCTAAGAAGACTTTCCGGACTCCTAAAAGAATACCTTCTGGTTCTTCTATGAGAATAACTTTTGGTCTCCTATAAGAGGGCCTTCTGGTCTTCTATAAGAGGACCTTTTGGTCCGTCATAAGAAGACCTTTTGGCTCTTCATAAGAAGACCTTTTGGTCCTTCATGAAAAGATATTTGGTCCTTCATAAGAAGACCTTTTGGTCCTTCATAAGAAGACCTTTTGGTCCTTCATAAGAAGACCTTTTGGTCCTTCATAAGAAGACCTTCTGGTCTCCTATAGGAACACATTCTGGTTCTTCTATAAGAATACCTTCTAGTCTTCTTGAAGAATATGTTCCGATCTGATATAAGAAAACCGTCTGGCCTTCTATTAGAAAACCTTCTGGCCCTTCTATAAGAAGACCTTCTTGTCTCCTATAAGAAAACTTCCTGGTCTACCATAAGAAGACCTGCCTTCTATAAGAATACCTTCTGGTTATCTTTAAGAATACCTTCTGGACTTCTTAAAAAACCTTCTGTTGCTCAACATGAAAACCTTCTATTCTTCCAGAAAAATAAGACCTTGAATCTTCTTCCTTTTAAATTTAAGTACTAACAATTCTGTCCTTCTTTTCATCTTTCTCCAGGAAAACAGCATAAAAGTCGCATTTGCCGAAGGCTATTTGGCAGCAGCAAATTCAGAAGATCATCCAAAATCTGGCAAAACCATGAAGTATTTAAAGGTAAGTTCCATAACATAACACACAACAACAACACAAAACATTGGGCCATGTAATTTGAAAATTAAAACAATCCAGGTTTTTCAGCAATTGTTAGTCATCGTTGTATTTATTGGACTATTTGTAAGTCTGTTCTCTTCCTCGAATGGTTCCATGTTTCGGTAAGTATCCATTACACATTTTTATTTCATATATACAATTTTTAATGTTCCCTTTTCTCAATTTAGCATCCAGTTGGGCAATCAAGTGGAAGTTGATCCCGAAGAAATCCATGTCACCTTCGAAGATGTCAAGGGTTGCGATGAAGCCAAACAGGAATTGAAAGAAGTTGTAGAATTTCTAAAAAATCCTGAAAAGTTTTCCAATTTGGGTGGTAAACTACCCAAGGGTGTGCTATTGGTGGGTCCACCTGGTACTGGTAAAACTTTGTTGGCCCGTGCTGTGGCCGGTGAGGCAAATGTACCATTTTTCCATGCCGCCGGTCCAGAGTTTGATGAGGTGCTGGTTGGTCAAGGTGCCCGGCGTGTGAGGGATTTGTTTAGTAAGTCCTTTTCTACAGATAATTTTAAATATGAAATTAATTTCAATTTGTTTTACATCCTCAGAGGCCGCCAAACAACGTGCTCCCTGTGTTATATTCATCGATGAAATTGACTCGGTTGGTGCAAAACGTACCAACTCCGTTCTGCATCCCTATGCAAATCAAACCATTAATCAGTTACTCTCCGAAATGGATGGTTTCCATCAAAATGCTGGGGTTATCGTTTTGGGTGCTACAAATCGTCGTGATGATTTAGATCAAGCTCTTTTGCGTCCTGGTCGTTTCGATGTGGAGGTATGTGTTGAGTTGCTTCGAGAAGGAATTTTTGTTTATTTATGTCTTAATTTTGTTTTCCAGGTTGTTGTTAACACACCCGATTTTACTGGACGAAAGGAGATCATAACACTGTATCTCTCGAAAATTTTACACGACGAAATCGATTTGGATATGTTGGCTAGGGGTACATCAGGTTTTACTGGTGCCGATCTAGAGAATATGATTAATCAGGCTGCACTGAGGTAAGATATGGGGACTTTGTGGAATTACGACAATGAAATGGGAAGAGATTTGTGATCTTTAATGCGAAGACCTTCGGGTTTTCAAGGAAAAGACTTTCGGGTTTCAAGGAGAAGACTTTCGGGATTCAAGGAGAAGACATTCGTGTTATCAAGGAAAAAGAAAATACGGTATTCTATAAAAAGATTTCTGGCTTTAGGTCTTTTTCGTCTTCTAGGATTAGACCTTCTGTTCTGCTGGGAGAAACCTTTCGGGCCTTGTATAAGAAGGTCTTCTGGTCCTTTTATAAGAAAACTTTCTGGTCCTTCTACAATAAGATCTTCTGGCCTTCTGGTCTTCTAGGAGAAGACATTCTGGTCATCTAGAAGAATACCTCCTAGTCTTCTAAGAGAAGATATCATGGTCTTCTAAGAGAACCCCTCTGGTCTTCTAGGAGAAAACCTTCTGATTTTCTAGGTGAAGACCTTCTGGTCTTCTAGGAGAAACCTTCTGATCTTCTAGGTGAAGACCTATTGGTCTTCTAGGTGAATACCTTCTGGTTTTCTGGGAGAAGACCTTCTTTGATATGAAAAGAACCATTGGGTTTTCTATGAGAATACCTTCTATTCTTCCAGAAGAACCCCTGCTGAACCTCATTCTGTTCGGCTATAAATATCATCTGCTGTTCTATAAAAAATACCTATTGGTTTGGGAAAATACCTTCAGTTCCACAATTTAAAGACCCTCTGATCTCCAATTTTAATTCCATTTTTTGTTTTTTACAGGGCGGCGATTGATGGCGCAGAAACTGTAACCATGAAACATTTAGAAACTGCACGTGACAAGGTACTAATGGGACCCGAACGTAAGGCACGCCTACCCGATGAAGAAGCCAATCTCATTACGGCTTATCATGAGGGTGGACATGCCATTGTGGCCTATTATACCAAGGTAAGCAAACTATAATAAATTTAAAATTAAAAAAAACCTTTTAATATCCTCTCTCTCCCCGTTTAACAGGAATCCCATCCATTACACAAAGTCACAATTATGCCACGTGGCCCCTCACTGGGACATACCGCCTATATACCCGAAAAAGAACGTTATCATGTTACCAAAGCTCAACTGCTGGCAATGATGGATACCATGATGGGTGGTCGTGCCGCCGAAGAGTTAATCTTTGGTGCAGAAAAAATTACCTCAGGAGCTAGTAGTGATTTGAAACAGGCAACTTCCATTGCTACACACATGGTTAAAGATTGGGGTATGTCGGAAAAAGTTGGTCTACGTACAATTGAATCGAATAAGGGCATGTTCCCCAATGAAACACTGGGACCCAACACCGTTGAGGCTGTTGATGCTGAAATTAAACGTATTCTAAATGAGAGCTACGAACGGGCAAAGGCAATCTTACGGAAACATGCCAAGGAACACAAGGCCCTGGCCGAAGCCTTACTGAAATATGAGACTTTAGATGCTGAAGATATTAAGGCGATTATGAAGGATTCGCAATAGTAAAATTTGCTATACTTAAATTGAATGAAAGAGAATGCAGCCAGCTGAAGTTTTGAAATGAGAGGCGGAGGAAGTTTTAGTTTTATATTTTAGGTATAAATATCCACAAACAAACAAAAACATATTACTTAAAATTGTTAACAAAAGAAAAAAAGCAAACACAACAAAAAGGACAATTTATTTAAAATACCAAAAATTCAGAGCAGCAGCGAAAAAAAAACATATTTTTTAGACTAACCAAAAGCAAAAAAGTTGAACGACACAACAAGAAAAAGAAAAGGAATATGGAACTCTAAAATGCTAAACAAAAAACAAAATATTATTTGAAATAATATTATTCAGCTAAATTATAAAAAAACAACTCTATATAATCAATTTTATATTAATTTTTTTCCGATTCCATAGCCAATAATAATTATAGAAATAATGTGTGAGAAAAAAATAATAAAAAAAAATTGAAAAACGATTGATTACAAATCAAAGAATATTTTGTGAAATGAAATTAATTCCAAACTCCCCCGTCTAAAATGTGTAACCTATGAATGGTAAGCTAGCTGCGGACGTAAGGTAAGAACCAATAATTTAAATTAATTTAAGTTTTTTTAATTTACTAAAATTACTTTTCAGTTTTTCAAATAATATCAAAATTCCAAATTATCAACAATTTAATGCAAATTGAAAGCAGCAAAATTTACCATTGAAACACATCAAGAATATATTAACAAATTTACACTATTTTTATATCGCCGCAAAAACAAAATCATCAACATTTAAATTTTGAAATCATTTCACATTATATCGATTTTAAAACCCCGAATCCTTGGATATGCCACCCTAATAATGTAAGTAATATATTCATGTAAATTTTGTATTGTAGTTGAAATAGAGAATATAGAGAGGGAGTGAAGAGAATATATTCTGGTCTTCTAGGAAAACAATTTTTGGGCTTCTATGAAAATGTCGTTTGGCCTTCGAGATGGGACCTAAAATCTGGGTTTTAAAAAAAATCCATGCTGATAAAATGTCTTCAAAAAATATTTTTTTAAAAATTCCCCACTTGAAAACGGTCTTCAAAAACATTTTTTTGTTGTGTTTTGAATAAATATTAAAAACAAATCACACTTGAGATTGTAAAAAATGTATTTAAAATATTTATTATTAAAATTTAGTATTAAAAATATTTAAAAAAGCCACTCATGAGCTTGAAAAAAAAAACTATTTTTTTTTCTATGATTTAATCCTGAAAATAAAAAAAAAAAAAAAATAGATAAAAAAAAAAGGGTAAAAAATCAAAAACTTGGAGATCCCACGAATTTTTCAAGGGTCCCACGAATTTTTTTCTATAGAAAAAACTTGGCGAAAAAACTTGGCGACCCAAGGGTCTCACGAATTTTTTTCTATAGAAAAAAACTTGGCGACCCAAGGGTCTCACGAATTTTTTTCTATAGAAAAAAACTTGGCGACCCAAGGGTCTCACGAATTTTTTTCTATAGAAAAAAACTTGGCGACCCAAGGGTCTCACGAATTTTTTTCTATAGAAAAAACTTGGCGACCCAAGGGTCTCACGAATTTTTTTCTATAGAAAAAACTTGGCGACCCAAGGGTCTCACGAATTATTTTCTATAGAAAAAACTTGGCGACCCAAGGGTCTCACGAATTTTTTTCTATAGAAAAAAAACTTGGCGACCCAAGGGTCTCACGAATTTTTTTCTATAGAAAAAACTTGGCGACCCAAGGGTCTCACGAATTTTTTTCTATAGAAAAAAAACTTGGCGACCCAAGGGTCTCACGAATTTTTTTCTATAGAAAAAAACTTGGCGACCCAAGGGTCTCACGAATTTTTTTCTATAGAAAAAACTTGGCGACCCAAGGGTCTCACGAATTTTTTTCTATAGAAAAAACTTGCCGAACCAAGGTTCGCACGAATTTTTTTCTACAGAAAAAACTTGGCGACCCAAGGGTCTCGAATTGTTTTCTATAAAAAAACTTGGCGACCCAAAAAAATAAAAAACTTGGCGACCCAAGGGTCTCACGATTTTTTTTTCTATAAAAAAACTTGGCGACCCAAGGGTCTCACGAATTTTTTTCTATAGAAAAAACTTGGCGACCCAAGGGTCTCACGAATTTTTTTCTATAGAAAAAACTTGGCGACCCAAGGGTCTCACGAATTTTTTTCTATAGAAAAAACTTGGCGACCCAAGGGTCTCACGAATTTTTTTCTATAGAAAAAACTTGGCGACCCAAGGGTCTCACGAATTTTTTTCTATAGAAAAAACTTGGCGACCCAAGGGTCTCACGAATTTTTTTCTATAGAAAAAACTTGGCGACCCAAGGTTCTCACGAATTTTTTCCTATAGAAAAAACTTGGACCCAAGGGTCCCACGAATTTTTTCCTATAGAAAAAAGTTGGACCCAAGTGTCCCACGAAGTTTTTCCTATAGAAAAAAGTTGGCGACCCAAGGGTCTCACGAATTTTTTTCTATAGAAAAAAACTTGGCGACCCAAGGGTCTCACTAGTTTTTCGAAGCTTATCGCACATAATTCTACGCTATGCCAAATTTCGTGCAAATCGGACGAAAGTATATATGAGAGCTATATCTAAATCAGGCGCGATTTTCACGAAGCTTTGCACACATCATTCTAGACTCAATGCAGTACACTATGCCAAATTTCGTGCAAATTGAAAAATATTAAAGGACTTTGGTGTAGCATTTACATAAAATCAGATGAAAATATATATGGGAGCTACATCTAAATATGAACCGATTATCACTAAACTTTGCACACATCATTCTGGACTCAATTCAGTAATCTATGCCAAATTTCGTTCAAATCGAATGATATATAGGGACATGGGTGCACCATTTACATAAAATCGGACAAAAATATATACGGGAGCTATATCTAAATCTGAGCCGATTTTCATGAAACTTTGCACACATCATTCTAGACTCAATTCAATACGCTATACCAAATTTCGTTCAAATCGAATGATATATAGGGACATGGGTGCACCATTTACATAAAATCGGACAAAAATATATACGGGAGCTATATCTAAATCTGAGTCGATTTTCATGAAACTTTGCACACACCATTCTAGACTCAATTAAGTACACTGTGTCAAATTTCGGACGATACTATATATGGGAGCTATATCTAAATCTGAACCAGTTTTTCCCAATTTCAATAGGGTTCGTGCTTGGGCCAAATAAGTGACCTATGCCAACATTCATCCAATTCGGGTCATAAATGCAACCTGTACTTTGTTTACAATTTAACATGGACAGAAAGACAGACGGACCGACGGACATGCATAAATCGACTTAGAATGTGATTCTATGCATATTCTCAAAAGGAACCATGTAGCTCAGAATTGAAAAATGTTTAAAAAAATTGCAAATTAATTTTAAAAATCCAATTTTGTTTTTGATTTTGAAATTATTTTTTAACATGTATTGAAAAATGTTAAAAAAAATTGCAAATTAATTTTAAAAATCCTATTTTGTTTTTGATTTTAAAATTAATTTTTTTTTTACTTATTTTTTAATTAAAAAGAAAATTTAAAATTAGGCTTATTTGAAGTATTGAAAAATATATTTTAAAATTCACGATTTAGTTTATTTCACCGTCGGAATATTGACCGATCATCATCTAAACAACCGCTCTAAGTATTTGGTCAGATCCCCTTCACCCTGTGTAATATGTGATGTTCTGCATATAATAATTGCCTCAAGAAAATCTGACAAAATTAATGTTTTCGGTTCAATGCTCCCCCTGAATGAAATCTCAACTTCACAGAAAACTATAGGCGTCGTCCTTGATCATAATCGGAAGTTCATGTACAATTTCAAAGCTATCAGCGAGACATTTCCATCCTCTAATGGAGCAATAGTAATACTATGCACATAGTCACCTTTACCTAATTACGTATAACTCCCACATCAGAGTACATGCAGCCATAAGTTTGGTATCAATTTGAAGGTCAATGAAATACCTGTTGGTCCTCTTTGATATACTATCAACTTCTTGGGTATATGTCCTTCAGGAGCAAGTATATACGCCTCAGAATAAAAATCTTGTAATTTTTCACACAAAAGTCAGGGTTTGACCTGCTAAATATTGACTGATCTTTATCAAAACAGGTATGCTTATTCTTTGGCACAATCCTCTTCTCCATGTAAAATTTCACGATGTTCGGAACATAACTGGGGACTCTGGAGCGACCAGAAAAACCGACACAAATTAAGTATTCGGTCCATTTCATCCCTTAAATATTAAATATTAACAATGAAGACCCCATTGGACCGAACCTATCCTCCATGCAAAATTTGGTGAAGATTGGTCCATAACTGTGGCCTGTATCGTGTTTACAAATTATAATGGACGGACGGACGGACACACATGTCTAGATCCACACAGCTAGTCGAGATATGCCGATCGGTATACTTAATGTTGGGTATAGGACCAATATTTCGCGGCGTTACAAACTCTTGGGACTGCACAAAGCTATAATACCCTGACAACATAGTTGTTGTGTATGGTATAAAAATCCAACTTTGGATATGAAAAAAACATTTAATTTCTGGTCTACCGTGAGAAGACCCAATGGCCTTTTAAGAGACTATCTACTGTTCTACGAGAAGATATACTGGCCTTCTATGGAAATACCTGTTGGTCTGATATTCCATTTTTTCATAGCATTCTATATAGGAATGCATTGTGGACGTATAAAATAAGACTATGACCTTTGGATTTTCCATGGGAAAATCATGTTTGTTTCTATGAGAAAACCTTCTGGCCTTATATGAAAGGAAATCCTGGACGTCTAAGAGACGATTTCCTTCTTTGAGATTATCTGCTTGTATTTTTTTAAAAGAAAAAATAAAATCAGACTATGACCTTTTGGTCTTCCATGGCAAACCCCTTCTGGACTACTCCATCCTCCTGGTCTTCTATAATTTTTTTTCGGCCTTTCCTTATGGTCTCGTCTGATAAACCA